AGACAGAAACCTGTTTTATAATAGTACAGTTCTATGATAATATTTGTGTTTACTTTAAGGCCTCGCTATGTACGTGCCACTTAAAAAACTATCATCGAAACTGTACCGGTATTGTTTTAATATGGTTTAACATGATTTGTTTAAGGACGATAAAAAACCCGAGATTCTTGAAAATAAAACCATCTTACGTCTCATTATTCTTTTCGATGACCTAAATTCTCTCACTTCTTGGGTGAGACTTGAGGATGTCGTCGTGGATTCCAGCTGAGAGATGAGCTCACTGGAAGCAAGTTTTTCCCTGAAGGTAATTATTTCCCCGCCACTAGACACAAGTAGTTCAGCTGGAGCCTCTCACCTCGACTGTTGTTACCGTAATGATCGTATGTGTGTATGTCATGGTTTTGGGGTGGATCGGTGATAGTAGGAGTGGATTATATTATATAAAGATAATAATGTCATATTTCTTATTTCTTACCGTAGAGTCCGATACCTTCACACTGATTACTTACAGGAGATTATGGCGTATCTACGTAGAAGTTCACTCCACCACTCGACATTCCATGATTTATACTTGATAAATGATGATTTAATGAATTCATTTAATTTTCAACATCCATCTAAGTTATTGGTTATACTATGTCATAACCAATCAGTCATTACCTTTAGTAATAATAAGATAGGATCACAGATACGGGCAGATAATTGCACTTACATTTATTTGTCAAGCTTCCATACAATGATTTACAATTTGCATGGATATATGATTCACTCACGTTCACGCTGTAATAAAATTAATCTTCTAAAAGAGAATTTTAACTTGGGGACACATGTGATTACTCTACTATGGATATAACTTAACAGAGCCTTAATTCTTCAAGTGATACATTTACTGCCAGCCTGGATTGCTTTTGTTGCAACCAGGCTTCCGCACAAGAACTTCTTTCCACGGGCCACAGCAACAAAAAGTACTCTTGGGTTACCACACATGGTGTCGTGCAGGAGAACTCTGTAAGCGTGAATTAATTAACCATTTACTGTAGGTTTGATAGGCCAGCCTGGATTGCTCTTGTCGCAACCAGGCATCCACACGTGATATTTCCACGGGGATAACAACCTAGGTTAACACGCTTAGTCTCGGTCGACGACGGTTCACAGGACGGAGTGCGGTGGAGGACTCTGTGTGGTGTGGTGTCCCGCCCCCCCTTCAGGAGGGAGAGGATGGAGACGACGTCCTAACTAACCCATGGCTCAGGGGGTACTACTTAAAATGAGGTTTTTGGGTGTGAAGCGATGAACAGTACAACACTGTTTCACTGCTCACCCCCCTAAAGGCTGGCTGACATACACTAATGAAAAATACATGTCCCAGTTATGCCTCCCCGGGCGTCTTATCTCTGGTAAAACAAACTTTGGAGTTGGTTGCGTGGGTAAGCCTAACGCAACCCATGACAGTGTACCGCCGACAATTTTGGGTACAGGAATGTGCAGGTTGGGTACAGCCACACAGAAGAGTGTTTTAGTCTAAATCCTAATAATAATAAATAATAATAATAATAATAATAATAATAATAATAATAATAATAATAATAATAATAATAATAAACGGTTTATTAATAGAGTTGCAGCCGGTGGCTGAAAATATACAGACTTACATTTGATTTAGACATAATGATATAATATGCATTGAATACATTTACAGGGCTGTACAGTACATAAATCAGGAGTTGTTTATTATTTTAGCAATAGATGGGATGGTGCTGTTCTTATATCTATCAGTGTGGGCTCTTATGGGCTGTATTTTGTTGTAGTGGCGGACTGCGCGAGTTGGGTGGGGGGCTGTAGGAGGTGGCGATGACGAGGGTGGTGCAGTAATCCACTGCCAAACCTTTCCAGTGCTTGGTGGTGGAGGTCACTGAGAGATGGCACTTCCAGGGTGGAGAGAGCGTTGGTGTAGCCGGAGTATTCTGCGCCGAGCAGAATGTGAGTTCTTGGTGGTCTGTGTTGGGTGAAGTCACCTGCTACCTGATGAAGGCGAGTTGAGATTAAAAGCGCTTATAGTGACACCATGGACCGGTTCTTCATGACGCCAGGGAACAATTTTAAAGAATAGTTCAGGACTGGACCGGTTCTAGTGACCAGGAGGGGGCGGCGCCGGGCGGGGAGGGGGTGTTATGGCTTATTACGTCAGGAGGCGGGTTATGTGACAGAGGGAGAGGAGCTTTAAGCTGGAGAAAGTCAAATAGTAGCGGCACTTGCTTACTAATTACCTTGGTGCCGGAAGGTCTATGTGGCCTGGCATGTGCGCGAGTGTTTTCTGTGGTACTCGTGTGTGTTTTGGTGTTGCGTGTATGTGTGTGTTGTGGTGTTGTGGTATTGTGTGATTGTATTTGTGCTATTGTGTTTTTGCGGCATTGCGTATATTGTGTTGTGTGTTGTGTGTGTGGTATTGTGGTGTGTTGTGTTATAGTGTGTGGTGTTGTGTGGTGTTTATACTAACCTTTACAGCCCTCTTAAATAGTTGCTATAATCCGTATTGGTGTCGAATCTTCCCAGTGTGTTAAGTCATACCAAGAACTGTTTACTTCTTGCGATAAATAGAAAGGAAGTTACCTATTTTTTTTTTCTCGTCAACATTAACTCGAAGATTTATGGCCGTGATAATGAAATATATTTACTTGGTTTATTTATCAGACGTGTGAGTGTGGGTCAGTTTAACACGTGTCTGAGTTATCGTGGCCATTCACTGTTTATTTGGGACAGTTGTAGAAAGTTATCGTAATGATATATTCGTGTGGTAGGTAACGTGGGTCCCACTGCTAATAATACCAAAACCTAACCTAACCAGACCATTAGGATTGAGAGTCGTTAGTTCTAGAGGCCCATGTCTAGTGCCTCTCCCTCACTGTGACGTCATCTAGTGCCCCTCTCTGTGTGACGTCATCTAGTGCCCCTCTCTGTGTGACGTCATCTGGTGCCCCTCTCTCTGTGTGACGGCGTCCTTTAGTGCTTCTCCCTCTGTGTGACGTCATCTAATGATTCTCCCTCACTGTGACGTCATATGGTGCCCCCCTCTCAGTGTGACGTCATCTAATGATTCTCCTTCACTGTGACGTCATCTAGGTCTTTTCTTGGATGGTAACAGGGAAACTTAGTTCTTAGAAGGGTTAGATTAGGTTGGTTAGGTTAGGTTAAGTCCCTGTGTCTATTAGTGTTAGTTTAGCTTCCACATCTGTCCACAGCTTCTTCAATAACACAGGAGTTGGTCCTGTCTTCCCAGTTTCCTCATAGAAAGTGAATTTAGAGCCGCACAGTCAGTGGGGCCCGCTCCCTCTGCGTCCGACGTTTAGCAAACAAAAAAGAAAAGTTTGGCAGCTTTTTGCTGGTGGAAAGTGTGGCGGCGGGTTCTGTATATACGAGACGCCGGGCGGCAGCCATGTTTGTACTGCCTCTTATAGCTGATTGGCTGTCTATTTGATGCTCGTTTGCTTCTCATACCTGATTGGTTGTCTATCTGAACCTTGTATGCCTCTAATAAGTGATTGGTTGTCTATCTGAACCTTGTATGCCTCTAATAGGTGATTGGTTGTCTATCTGAACCTTGTATGCCTCTAATAGGTGATTGGTTGTCTATCTGAACCTTGTATGCCTGTAATAGGTGATTGGTTGTCTATCTGAACCTTGTATGCCTGTAATAGGTGATTGGTTGTCTATCTGAACCTTGTATGCCTCTAATAGGTGATTGGTTGTCTATCTGAACCTTGTATGCTTCTAATAGGTGATTGGCTGTCTTGGCATCATATGCTTCTCACAGCTGATTGCATGACTGACTGACAACCTCACAACTGAATGTCTCTCGTCATAGGCTCTCTCTCTTAAACCTCTGTATGCGTCAGACCTCGTATGCTCTAATCATCGAATAATAAATACAGTTTTTCTACGACCCAACACTTATAGCAGCCTTACGTTATGTTCACTACCAACTCTTTCCTCAATGAACATTTCAATAAACAACTGTTGAACATCACCAGCTGGTGAAGGTTGTGACTTGAGGAAACTACCGTGCATGAAACAGCTCTCCTTCTCCCGAGTTGCTCTTCTCTGTGTTGTGTAAAATATTTTAGTTTGTCCTTTTACATGAATAAATTTGTTTTTTTCTGGAACAAGTTGCAGTTCGATTTTTTTGTTTTTCTTTAGAGAAAGTAGGAAGACTTTCCTCTCTGCTCTCTGACATGTTCTCCTCTCTTGCAGTGTGCATGTTGCAATCTCTTGAACGTCTTACAGGCGCCGTTTTCCTACTAAATCTCATGATAGAATTATATAATTTTCTTTTACTCTAGAAACATGTTGTGTTGCGAACTTATTTTTTTATTCTGTAGAACGGCTTCAAGGCTAAGAGTGAAGAGCTTCATACTGTGGTCTAACTATTTAATGTGTTGCAAGGTGCTTGTTGACGCTGACCTCGCTATTTTTGTCTCCTCTTTTGCATCATGTGTGTGTGTATGTTACTGCCTTGACGCTCTGCACTTTAGTATGGCAACGTTAAGACCTCTCTCTCTCTCTCTCTCTCTCTCTCTCACCTTAATATAAAAACAACTGTGGGTGGTGTCTGTGTTTATCTGTCTCCGCCAACAGTGAAAGTGGTCGATGGTAACTCGCGTATTTGTTAGTTTAATCAAGTTTATTCACTTATTGTTTTGTCTGAAATGATGCGTGGGGTGGCTGGTGGCTGTTACGTCGGTATGGTGTGAAAGTTAGACACACACACACGCATGTCGTACTCAAGGGGGTAAAACATCGTACTCAAAGGGATATGACATTGTACTCTAGGGGTTAACATAGAATAAATTAGTAACAGCATCTCCCTCGTGGAAGTTAAAGTCAGGACGTAAGGGAAGTACACAGTATGTTATTACGATGCATTACAGAAGGTGACATTCTACCACTACAGCTGTAACACACAAGACATTAGGGATGACATCAAGTATAACACAAAACAAAGGTATTCATAACCATCTTTATTTTGGCAATGGATTACATGCAAATAGCAACCCCCCAAAAATATAACAACTTAACCTTAACAGAATTATGTTTATATACATTTTGGAATGCTATATTATTAAGTTCTATTAGGTATAAAAATAAAATAGCACTCAAGAGCAGATAAATAGTAATATATGTGTCTTTGTCTTCCGCAGAAAGTGGCAGTAGCGTGGAACAAGAGAATCGACAGCAGTCACGGTAAGTTAAGTCCGCACACTAGTGAACTTGCTCACTCATTCTGTCCTCTCCCTGCGTCGGGTCTCCTTCTGTAGGGTGGCGCTTCATCCTAACCTCCTCTCCTACTCTACCGCTGCAGTACGTCACATCATCTTGTTTTGGTCTTGGAGAGGAAAGTTTATAATTTGGTTTGGTGTTTTATTTTTAACGGTTTAGGTTTATTGTTGTGTGTTTTTTTTTCTTCTCCTCTGGGTCTTAATTACCGATCACTTACACCTCTCGTCTCTTGGTTGTCAAGATGGCCGGGTGTTGGGAAGTCCTGGTAACTATTTAAACGTTGAAAAGTTATGGCCAGAGTAAAGTTTGTCCTTTTAACATGAAGCAAAGGGGAGAAATTAGTGTTGCTGCGTTTAGTGAGGCCTTGTGAGGAGGATTCTTCTCGTATATAACTTTTTGTAGAATTGGGAGAGAATTTTGAGCTTCACGTTTCTAATAATTATCCACTAGGGTGAGCAAATGTACCTGCCTGTCCGTCACTAATACCGACACTTAAAACAGACTGTATCTAGTCAGCGTGTGACACTAGTCGGCTCGACTAGATAATGTTTTATTATTTAATGGTTTCATAATGCAGAACTGAGTGTTTTACTCAAGTTGTTTTTATTTTGTTTTCAAGCGAATGGTTTAATCTGTGAAAAGCTGCGAAAGACTGTGGTGCCAATGTCGATGATGCCGCCGAGGATAGTGCCCAGCAGCTTACCCTTAGTGAACAGCAGCCTCGTCACCGGCTCTCGGAAGTAAGACGGCTCGGTAGTGGTGCTGGGTTGTTCTGGTAATCCTCCGGGGAATAATGCGGTGCTGTCGGAGTCACTTGATGAGTCGCTGCCAGAATCCACTTGGAATAGAGAGGCACCACTGTCATCAGAAGCATCGTCGCCGGTGTTGCCTCTGACCTCTACGTCGGTGTTGGAGTCTATGGTGAGAGGAGTCTGTGAACTCCTTGTGGACACGTTGATGCCGCTGTTCTTTACCTTCTCAAGGCTGGACGCAGGAAGAACCATCACACCGTTCTTTCCGTTGAGACCCATCAGAAAAGTTCCCAGAGTTTGACTAGAGTCGATATTATTTGTATTACCGTTAAGGAGCATTCCCAGAACTGGAGAGAGAATGTTAGAAGGCAGTGTGATCTCAGTTGACGATGGCAATGGGAGAACAGAGGTTTCGGTGAGGTCCGATATCGTACCCGAAGAAAGGGAAACTATTGATTCTGGAGTCTCACTGCTGCCCAGCGAGACACTCGGGATTGAGCCTCCAGAACTACTGAATGACACTCCTAAGTTTTCTGTGGATACCTCAGGGACTCCCACGTTTACACTTGAGTATCCATTAGATACAACTGGGAAAGGCGCACCTCCTGTGGACACACCTGGGAGGGGCACACCTATGCCCCCAAGAGATGCGCCTCGACTCCCAGTGGACAAAATTGGGCCTCCAGGAGATGTGCCTTGACTCCCAGTGGCCAAAATTGGGCCCCCAGTGGACAAGCTTGGAAAGGGAGCACTTATATCTTCAAAGGACACATCTTGGTTGCTAGTGGATACAATCTGGTCTCCAGAGGGGACACCTGGGAGGGGCACACCTACAACCCCAAGAGATGCGCCTCGACTCCCAGTGGACAAAATTGGGCCTCCAGGAGATGTGCCTTGACTCCCAGTGGACAAATTTGGGCCTCCAAGAGATGTGCCTTGACTCCCAGTGGACAAAATTGGGCCTCCAAGAGATGTGCCTGACTTGGACTCCCAGTGGACAAAATTGGGCCTCCAAGAGATGTGCCTTGACTCCCAGTGGACAAAATTGGGCCTCCAAGAGATGTGCCTTGACTCCCAGTGGACAAAATTGGGCCTCCAAGAGATGTGCCTTGACTCCCAGTGACAAAATTGGCCTCCAAGAGATGTGCCTGACCTCAGTGGACAAATTGATGACTCCCAGTGGACAAAATTGGGCCTCCAAGAGATGCGCCTTGACTCCCAGTGGACAAAATTGGGCCTCCAAGAGATGTGCCTCGACTCCCAGTGGGCAAAATTGGGCCTCCAAGAGATGTGCCTCGACTCCCAGTGGACAAAATTGGGCCTCCAAGAGATGTGCCTCGACTCCCAGTGGACAAAATTGGGCCTCCAAGAGATGTGCCTCGACTCCCAGTGGACAAAATTGGGCCTCCAAGAGATGTGCCTCGACTCCCAGTGGACAAAATTGGGCCTCCAGTGGACAAGCTTGGAAAGGGAGCACTTATATCTTCAAAGGACACATCTTGGGTCCCAGTGGAGAAAACAGGACCTTCGCTGGATCCTGTCCCTTGATTTGAGATTACCGATGTGAAGATTTGGACGCCAGGAACGATATTACCATCTTCATCAGAACCACTGTCTTCAGTAACAAAGAACTCATTGTGCTGGAGAGGTCTATTGTCGTCTCCTAATATTGACAGTCCATCTTCGGCTGAAATGTCTTGGAGTCCTAGTCTGTTAACGGAGAAGAAATGTTGTTGGGGCAGGAAGGTCGGGGGCGCTGGGGACTTAATACGAGGGTTGAAGGGTCTGTTGACTGAGTTGGCTTCCACCAGCGAGCCTCTTCTGGGGCCTCTCGCCTCGTGGAAAAATTGGTTACCTCGAGGGTTGGTGCGCACTCCCTGACCTGCAGAATATAAAGGTCAGTTTAGTTCTCGTTTGATGAGGAATTAACTTTGATTAAGGTGATGTGTAATGTAATGTGAAAAAATATTAATCAATGACGAAAGGAATGAATTTTGAAAGCCCTCCAATAGCTCTCAATTTTTTCTACATTATTACACATTTGTCTTAGGAGTAAAAGTAAATTGACGTATTCTGATAAGACTGTCTATAGGCTATTTAGGTGTATGTTTTACCTCCATTGGTAATTAGAAATATTAATCGTGTTGAAGATGTTTAGGTTTGTGTTTATTAGTGATCGTTACAGATACTCGAGCTAATGTTAGTAAAGTAAAGTTTGATGTCCTTAAAATAAACATTAAAGATAAGGATGACTTAGTGTAGTTATATTATACACCATGGCGAATAATGCGGTGTAGCTGAGGTAATGACTATAACTACCTACAACTACATAGTATAAAATGTCTCCATTATTGATCACCTGAAGATTAACCCCAGCTTATTTCGCCTTAATATTAACTACCCTAACGCTAATTCAACCGACCCCACCACTCCTCAGGTAGCGTTTGGGAGTTTAATCATCAGGTGAAATAAGTTAGAGTGCCTTATGTATATGTGTGTGTGTGTGTGTGTGTGTGTGTGTGTGTGTGTTAGAACTGACCTTGAGGGTTTGCGGTGTTGAAGACGACACGCTGGCCGCCACTGACTACTTCACGATGGATCAGGTTGCCCTTGTCTGTAAACACATCACCTATATTAATTATTACACATCTGAATGCATGCAAATTATCACAAGAATATGCAAATTAATACCTGGGCATGCAAATTTTTATGAATATCGAAATTGTTGCCTGAATATATAAATTAACCTAACCTGAATGTTAATTACTGTATCACCTATATACACAAGCTATTTACCTGTATATCTTCTGTATCACTGAACTATTGACAAAAAAAGAGACAGACAATGTAATTCATGATTTTGAAGGACCATCTGTCACACATTGGACTCTGATGACTGGAGTACCTTAGGTTAGGTTAGGTTAGGTTAGGTTAGGTCAGGTCAGGAGGTTGTGTGTGTGCGTTAGTATGGTGCCTGCCGGGTTCTGTGTGTTGGAGTTTGCACAATATCGTCTGGATTAGTAAGTCACAAGTTTGTTTTTTTGTATCCCGTCTGAAGCGGGTGATGTAGCAGAGGGCTTCTTCCGTCTTGTCTGTATATCCGTCCATTCCAGCCTCCTTCCGTCAGCCTCCAGTCCCTCAGTCCTTCCGTCCATTCTTCCTCCCGTCCATTCTTCCTCCCGTCCCTGCTACTTTATACAGTACATTAATTTCATATGAATTAATGATTTAGTAATAAACTTAATCTACTAGACTGTAAATACAAAAATCTTAAATGCCTTGTTGACATGATAACCAAGTCCTGAACACAAGGAGTCCTGACCAAACAACACTTGTTAACAGTTCGGTGTACGAATGGGGAGAAGATCATTATGTAGAAAAGTCGAGTAAAGAGCGATATAAGACGCTGCGGCTACTGGAGAAAAACACGAGAGACAACAGTGTGAAGTAAATATATTGATGAATCTTTATTGAATTTGTTACTTAATATTGAAAATCATTTGATAAGACGATACATTATATTTCACTATAACTCAAAAAGTATCATTTGGTATATCCATGGGAGTAAATTTCTTTATCTTTGAGTGTTTTCTTCTTCAACACTCGCCCTCGACTCCGGCTGTGGTCCTCGAGAAGCAGAGTCCTCCTCAAACACTTGGGCTGCAGGGATCGTGGTGATCTCTCTCACTTTACTGTCTAGTATACAGGAGATTAACGTGGGAGTGACTGCTCTCCGGTGCTTATGGAAGACTTGTATTGCCGAACTGGTTTTGTTATCACGTGTAGGTGGTGTGTGGGTGTGCGTGCGTGGCTAGGTGTGCGTACGTGCATGGGTAGGTGGGTGGGTATGATCTCGGGGTGTTTGAGATGTGTTCGCATGAGTTCCAGTAACATTTCCCACATTCGTCTTGGCCCTGGAGAGGTGCTTGGCGACTAGACTATTTGTTCCCTTATAGTTCATCTCTTGGGTGAGGCTCCGTTAACACTGTCCTGCGCTGAGAATACATCATCTCCCATCATTATTTATTTTGTCATTACACTGAACTTCTTCTTGGGGTAATTTTTCTATGGGTGGATCATTTAATATCTTCATCTAATGGTGTATAAAAAAATACATCCTTACCATACACCACCATGAGTTAACTGGATAATTATACCTGAATTAGTGTAATGAAACTTGTGAGTCAGAGCCTACAAGTAATATTACTACGAGGTTAAACTGTCCCTTGTTGTTATACACCTCGACTATCATCCGAGTCTCTGGATAATTATTTATGGATATTTTTTGTCCTCTATCCAGTGCACCACAGCGTCTCCACCAGGTATTAATAGTACACTGGCCACCGTAGAGTCCTTGTATCCTCAGGTTGTGTGTAGGTCTTCATAGATGACTGTTTAAGCTTACAAGGATGACTGATAACACCGCGTTCTCTCTTGATATCGTTGAATGACTGATAGTGGAGATTTTCCTGCAAGAAAAAAAGTATAAAATAATAATGAACCTAAATTTATTAGCATATAAAGTCTCATTGTTTTGTAAGTCATTGAACCCAATTGTGTATGATAAAAAAATATATATTGTTTATGATGAGGAAATCTGAATTGTTTTTCAGTTTAAATTCCTGACAATATTGGGTGATTGTGTTCTTATGGGAGCCGCCCTTATTATACGTAGGATAGATCTGAAACTTTCACTTGATATTTCTTGTTTTTATTTTCATTTTCTAACGTGAGTGATGAATTTACACCACAGATGTTTATATTATGAGGAAGAGGTGGGGATGCTTACGACATGGTTATAACATTGTACACTATGTCCATGAACTATAATCTGTCCAATATTGAATTTATTATTTCTGAACTCATAAGATTAAATGCTTTTGACTTTATGTGATTAATTAAACGCAGCTTATTATGATTGTTATTGATGGGAATGTAAAATAATCATAAAATAACATGTATCTTAAATTACTTCCTAGATTAACTTTCACCATAACAGAGAAACAAGAAAATAATGTATAGTAGAGGTTGACTGATCGTTACAGGTTACAATAACTATAAATTAACCCAAACAATTCTCAACTAAATAGACTTATGTTCCAATTATATATTTTACCCTGAAATATTAGCCTCCCGTGATAGATCATGGTCACATACCTGCAGCAAACTCCAGCGGCTGAGGTTCTTCGCTGTCACCGCCTTCATCTGAGTGGCTCGTCCAGCCAAGATAAGCCAGTCGAAGGTTTGGCGCCAATCTAGACATCCACTGCTTGAGGTTTCTAACAAGGGCCAACTCCTGTACAAGATTCTTAAAGACGTCTTCCTTTTCTCATCTTACCAGTCATCAGCGTCTCCACAGCTGTTTTTTCTGTTTTATTTATTTTATCTGTTTCTCGTTTGATACCAACTGTCAAAAAGGAGTAAACTTCCCCCCTGCCCCGCGAAATGCAACTGTATTGCCCCACTGCTCCAAACTTCCTCCACCTTCATTGTTTTGGTTATGGTGAATACAGTGTGTGTGTTGTGTGTGTGTGTGTGTGTGTGTGTGTGTGTGTGTGTGTGTTTAATTCTAGGGGTTGCTTTCTAGTTGGAGTTTAGCCAAGATCTACTCGTGGAATAGCAAGTCATTACGAGGCTGAGCAGAACATGACGTGCAGGTATCCCGCCACAGGTGCCGTCATGTCTGTCACTGGCGTTACTTGGCAACTTCTCCCCATGAACAGATCGCACACCTCGATGATGTGATGATGACCATACAACTTTCTTACTGTGTTACTTCATGGACCGGGAACTTTCGCTTCGATAGTCACGCTGATCGCCTGTACTCCATCGTCATTAATTTCAACACTGCTTTACATAAATTTCACAATATTCTTTTTCTGTCAAAGTTTGGTTACATGTTTTAAATGTGTTGCGGATATTAACTTGATTATCAGAGGTCCACGGAGTTAGTCAAAGCGTAACTTGTGTAGAAGTATCGTGCTGACTGTTACATACATCATATATAATCTTATTTTATTTATCATTTTAAATAGAAGTTCACAAGTTTAATTCGTTTTTGATGATACTTAATAGGTAACATTAGGTTTACCACGACCAGCCAGCCAAGTTAGTAGACCCAGCAGCTGTTGTCTCCCGTCAGGTGATGGTAGCCCGGGTATTTCGCTCCTGTGGCCCACCTCTCACTACCTGTCTCTTGTAACGATGATTTTGGCAGTCATTTTCTATACTCTCGTCGTCCTGAACGTATTAAACTGTGTACGATGAAGTTGTTTGTTCCCGTCTAAGTGTGTGTGTGTAAGCCAGGAATGACTTTATTCACACGGAGTGTGAGAAAGGCTTAATGGATCCTCTCTCCCTCCATTCCCCACCACCACCACCCATCTACCTACCTACCAAACCTACCCACCCCACCCCCCTGCCCACCCACCCCACCCCCCTGCCCACCCACCCCCACCTCACCCCTGCCCACCAATTCCTGAATCATCTCCCCCACAACTCTGCCCACGGGTGAGAAAGTGTGGTCAGCCAGGTCCTATTGTCATCCGTATGTGGTCGTCCGTGTCCAACCCTTATCTACCTACACCTACTGTAAGTACTATCTCCAGCCCCTTCCTTCCCTGTCCTGGCCCTGACCTGCTTCTAGTACACCATCCCTTAACCCTTAGCATAACACCCCATCCCAGCCTCCTCTTAGTCCTCCTCCTCCTAGTACCACCCAGTACAACTCAAACCACCTGTTCATAACTAGTGTAACCTCTTTTCTATTCCATCCTAAATCATTCAATCTATCCCAGGTCTTCCTCGTTACATTTTTATCCTCTCCATCACCTCGTACCGCCGCTCACCCTTTCGCTTACCCTCCCAGGCCTAGGCAGCAGCAGACCTTGACGTACTCAACTTTCGAGAGAGAGAGAGAGAGAGAGAGAGAGAGAGAGGAAAGCACTGGGCCGGCCCATATCTTGTTGAAGGTAGCGCCGGAAGATGTTGTTGAATTGTTTGTTCTTCATGGCTGTCCTTCCAGGTTAATGTATGTGTGTGTGTGTGTGTGTGTGTGTGTGTGTGTGTGTGTGTGTCAACAGGTGAATTAGTCTGGTATAGGTAGGTATTTAACTAGACATAAGAAGAATATATGGTGTTTTATATACAGGTTGAAGGGGATAGATGTCTGCAGGTTAATTGACTGAGTAGACCTGCATGGGTTGATTGAGCAGACACGTGCAGGTGTATCGAGCACACGTAAGGTGTTTAATTAGGCAAGTTAATTGACTTAGTGCTCACAGATCATTTAAGTTAGCTTATGCAGATTGATTGAACAGGCCCAACCAAGTATAATGGGCAGGCGTTCGCTGATCAATTGGCTTAGTATTCACAGGACACTAACACTTACACTGTATATAGCATTAACGTCAGATGATGTACTGCTACGCTTCTAACAGATATAACAGGCCTTCGGGCGCGTCCTCTACTTCAAAACAAACACTAAACACTGAGGTAGGCGCTTGAACCTTAATAACAATATTTAATACGTAAATCCGCTGCGGGAGACATCTTGTACAGCATTTGTGAATGACGATGCGAGTCGGGGGGAAAAAAGTTTTAAATTTGTGGGTAAAAGTTGTACAGGAAAAAAAAATTTAAGATTATTATATCAGCTCGGGTGGTGATTCTCAAAGCTTCTTTCCGAGTTTTTCGTCTCTCTCCCCATGACTGGCAGTATCAGAACCAGTCAAGCTGAATTGTAGAAGAGTCAAGCTGAGATATTGTCGTGTCGGTAAAGTGTCGATGTTGTGTATGTGTTTTTGGTCATCACGTTTGGCTTTGATATCACCATTGACGAGGAATTTTTTTTACGTAGGAATCTTTTGAGCATCGGGGCACCTGGTCAGGGTTGTACAGTATGTTGTTATGGTATAGTGGCGTCCCTTAGTGGGTGTGTGTGTGTGTGCAGTGTTGAGTCACGCGTATAGTTACACCTGATGGCACACGAGGACTCTAGGGTGTTACACATACTTACACTTACTCTCCTGGGTTTTACCGTTCACTTTAGTACTACCATCGTGGGTGTGTTGTGTATACTTACGCACTTGTGGAGATGCTGTAGTCACCACCGCCGCCCACACCACCACCCAGGCCGCCCACACCACCTGTAAGAACAAGAACACTTAGTGGATATTGTTAACACGACGGGGGGAGGTTTGTCTTGCTATAAATATAATGTAAATAAAGTCATGTTAGTGTTAAGTGAGTGTGGTGTACCGGGTGTCGATTATATATTGATGTTAGATATAAATGGATTACTGCATAAGGCGTTTGTAAGTTGACGATACGTGTGTGTGTGTGTGTGTGTGTGTGTGTGTGTGTGTGTTTCGATTTGGGTTGTACTTCGACGAAAGGATATTTGTGTATTGTTATTCATAAGCAAAAAATTACAATGCTCTAAGCATATAGTTTGTCCAGAGATAAGTAAGGCCTCGACCGTCACTGAAACATCACTGAACTATCTTGATTTTAGCAGGAAAGGGAAATTTGGCAACGCTCACTGCTCCTTCACTGCTAAAGTCAGAGTTTAGTGATGGTTCATTTTACTGTTGGTCGCGGGGCTCGCTGCAGGGCGAGTTTGTCATGTAAACAACAGTGCTCATTACGTGGTGAGTTTGGTCATATTTCACGATCGTAAAATTTTGGAAAGTTGAAAGTTCACGAACACTGTCTTGCTGTAGCTGTGTATGTAGAGCAATGTTACATCTATAACGAAAGACCGATATAAAGTTAGTTTTAAGGTATTATGCTGTATATATCTGAACTTTTTGTCAAGCATAACCTCAGCGACTTGTCTCTGACCTTACCCGTTGCTTTCTACACTTGTCGTGTACCTCCTCTATCATTAGCTTTTATTAACCCTTCATCCATCCATTTTCCACACACACACACACACACACACACACACACACACACACACACAGGAGAGAGAGAGCATTGTTATTTCAAAAGTAAATCTTTTCCACTTTTTCTCAACATGTGACATACAAGAAAAAATAATGCAATGTCATGTGCGGTAATTTAACATTCAAATTGATTTAAATGATAGACACATATTATGACACACTAGGTACCTGTATACCTGAGTAATTAATTTAAAGATGACAATAAAACAGAGTTATTAGGCACCGTTCACTAAATCGTTCCCTCTACATCACACACCTTTTAATAATCACAAGGTCGCCCCATCACCCTGAGGATACGTTATAACAAAGCTGGTGGTGTGTTGAGGATTTTTGGTCAATTCGTGAAAGTTTCTTAAAGATCTACCTGAAGGGGACGTCCCGGGTTGGTATTCGTTTAAGTGTTGATATCTCGTGTTTGTGGACGGGGTTGGGGAGGCTGTTCTTGTAAGCTGCCTGTCACTCTAGAGACACACGAGTTCAGCAGATTATTCACTTCTGCAATCACCTAACCCCCCCCCCCCAGGTCGACCTCCGTGTATGGTAGCACTGGTCACTGCTAGAAGGTGCGGAATCACTGTGTAGTATTATGGATTACAGGAGGTTTGTGAAAGGTATACAGTATAAGGGAAGGGGCTATGACTGAGGACTATTTAGATCACTAGAAGCCCTCCAGTTATCAGTGTAGCAGCGTGAAGTTGGGGTGTTGTGTTGTAGCTTACCTGTGATCTGTAGTAATTTAGTATAAGTTGTAGGTAATAAGAGTTATAAAGGTAGGTAATGAGAGTTATAAAGGTAGCTAATAAGAGTTATAAAAGGTAGCTAATGGGAGTAATAAAGGTAGCTAATAAGAGTTATAAAGGTGGCTAATAAGAGTTATAAAGGTGGCTAATAAGAGTTATAAGGTAGCTAATGAGAGTTATAAGGTAGCTAATAAGAGTTATAAAGGTAACTAATAAGAATTTACACTAAAGGTAGGTAATGAGAGTTATAAAGGTAGCTAATAAGAGTTATAAAGTAAAAACCTGAATAATACCGAACAGGATAACCCCAAATAGTTAAGCTTATAAACCAATCATAATGTTGAGGGAGCCGAGGGACCACATCGTTGCTTCCTGTGTGCTCATTGCTGGCCGGTCTGTCCTCTATAATGATAATCAAAGTAAACATTTCATTATTTGTAAGTCCTGCTTCTGTGTACTACTGAAAGCTGACGTTGGATGGTCATGCTGTAATGAGTGCTTCCTAGAGTGAACAATCTATTGGACTCTCGTGTTAGTAGAGTGATAGGCCAGCTGTACTCATACTCATAGTGTTGTGTTGTTGTTATAGGTGTTATAAACTCGGTAGTTCATCTTGTCTCTGGTCACGAGTACAACGTCATTAAATTCGTTGTTTTATTCATTTCTATTTTGAGTATTTAGTAAATATTTGTTTTCCATTTCTCAATATTCTCTCTTTTTTTTGTACATTGAACGGGATTAGGACTTTTTGTGGACGGAACGGGACTTTTTGTGGACGGAACGGGACTTTTTGTGAAGGGGGTGGAACTTTTTGTGGACGGAACGGGACTTTTTGTGAACAGGTTGGTACTTTTACTGAGCCAGGCGGGACGTGGTGGTAATGTTGACCTAAAATGTGACCAATGGTGACAGATTCCTAGCCTTTACCTCAGTCTTCACTTTGGTTCAGATAACAGCTCAGTTTAGGCGTACTTAATAAGTGAGGGCCAGAGAACATGAGACGCCCCGCTATACCACATAAACACAGCGTAGTGTGGTGGTTATATTGGCCAGATACAGGGATGATGGATACGTGGAAGGCCCTGAAGGAGTGTCACCTTATAGCAGAGCCTCCAGGTAGAGAAAGGAAGAATTTGGAGTTCTGTTCCTCTTTAACTTTTCACCTTATGATAATTTAATGAAGATAAAAGGTGTAATTTCTTCTGTCTTCCGAATGTACAAAGCAATAATTTTAGTGCGTGTGTGTGTGTGTGTGTGTGTGTGCGTGTGTGTGTGCGTGCGTGTGTGCGTGTGTGTGTGCGTGCGTGTGTGCGTGTGTGCGTGCGTGCGTGCGTGCGTGCGTGCGTGCGTGCGTGCGTGTGTGTGCGTGCGTGCGTGCGTGCGTGCGTGCGTGCGATGCGTGCATGTGTGTGTGCGTGCATGTGTGTGTGTATGTGTGTGCGTACATGTGTGTGTGCGTGCGTGCGTGCGTGCGTGTGTGCGTGCGTGTGTGGTAATGTGTGTGCGTGCGTGCGTGCGTGTGCGTGCGTGCGTGCATGTGTGTGTGTGTGTGTGTGCGTACATGTGTGTGTGTGTGCGTACATGTGTGTGGTGATGAGTATTCCATCACTCACCTGAAGCAATGCTGAGCAGGTGTGTGTCTCTAGGGTGTACTTTACTCAGTATGTCTGTTCACCGCCGCGAGGTTCACGATCTATCGACAATTCCTGAGCTGTGTGTTGGTATTAATAGTGCAGAAGGTAGAGGGTGGTGAGTGTGAGCTGAAGGTGGTAGAGACGTTGATGGAGGAGGCATGGTGAGATGAAGAGGAGGATGTAGGGGAATGTGGCGTGGTGTGCGGTGAGGAGATAAGATGGCGTGGCGTGGAGAGGAGGATGTAGGGGAATGTGGCGTGGTGAGCTAAAATGGCAGAGGGCGCTGCACTCATGTACACTAATTAGTATATTAATATGAGCTTTAACAGCCACTTAACCTAACCTAACCAAGAGCCAGGGAGTTAGGGGTAGGTAAGTGGGGGTCAGGTGGAGGGAAGCTACCCTGCCTCTCCGCCCGGCTATAGCATCAACCTCCACCACGCCTTCACCCTCCTACTACCCTGGGGCTTCGGCTGACCTCATTATCTTTCTACACATTGTACCGCCTCAGAGAAGTGTCAGGTATTTGTGTTGAAGTAATAACTGAGCTCTATAATTATGCTAGACCCTCATTTGACATATTCTTATCTTCGTTTTCTTATGTATTTTTTTACCCCCCTTACATGCATCCTTCGTAAACGTCAAATTGCAATCATTGTTCTTTACAAGATATGTATAAACAAAACAATATGCACCGCCTCGTAGTGTGTTTAATCTCCAAGCACACACCCAGGATGACAGCGTGGCTCAAAAAGTGGGGTACAGAGAACTACCTTTCACCTGCGAGCGGGAGCTGAGTGGAGGAAGTGTGTGAGTGAGGAAATACCCCAGCCTTACAGGGGGTGCTGGTCAAGAATGGCTGGGGGAGGAGCTCTTACATATCACCGACTCCCATTGACGTGTTGAGGGGTGTAAGAGTACTGACCATCGACGATAATGAAACTTCTGGTGTTGTAAAGATAACAAACCTCCCTGGTATGACCTCCTGAAGAAGTTACTGAAGGAGACAGTATATCGTGATCATCTGTTTGTGTTTACTGCCAGCACAAGTTTCACCTGGCGTGGGAATCTTGGAAAGTAAATCATTACGACTTATGACACACCAGTTACACAACGCTGCTCTATATACGGAAGACGTACTTGTTGCCAGAACCAGCTGAGGAGAATCACTAAACCAGTACAACTTCCACCACTGACGGTTTTCATTTTATTATTATTATTATTATTTTTTTTTGCAAATACACAACGAGAAATATAGAGGAGGTATAGCGTCTTGGATGAAAATATTTATTAAAGTAGGGTGCGTTATTGTTCGTGTGTGGTGCGTGGTGGTTCGTGTGTGGTGCGTTATTGTTCGTGTGTGGTGCGTGGCCTGAACTGTACTTATGGTCTTTTATGAATTCTATACAAAAGCAACACACGAAAATCAGTATTGCGTGTTGTTAAAAGTTTTGAATAACCAATTGCCATTGTTAATTTAGTCACATTTATCGCGGTTTAAATACAATACCAAAACCTAACACTTATTTGTTAGCAACGACTTGAAACCTAGAAAACAATGTATTAGCGTTCGCAACAAGGCAAACAGGATTCTTGGGTTCATATCTAGGTCTGTGAGTAACAGAACTGCTGACGTTATCTTGAAACTTTACCTAGCATTAGTGAGACCACACATGGATTATGCGGTTCAGTTCTGGTGTCCTTATTATAGAATGGACATAGATTCTTTGGAGAAAGTACAAGAAAGAATGACAAAAATGATCCATAATATTAGAAACCTTCCATATGAAGAAAGACTGAAAAGCTTGAGGCTTACATTCATTAG